CCTCCCCCCATCTCTGCCTCCCACCTCCAAGTGTAGGTACAACAGTTCTAATATCCACCTGGCCCTCCACTTCATGCCCATTTGTAGCCGCCACAGGGACCAGGAACCCTCAGCTGACCTGGGCTCACCTAGCAGCCTCCCAGCCCCCCAGCAGGGTGGTCCCAAACTGGGCAGGAGCAAGCAGTTCTACCCAGGAGGTCACTATTTGATCCCTGGTCAGGGCACATGCCCAGGTTGCGGGCTCCATCCCCAATGGGGGCGTGCAGGAGGCAGCTGATCAATGATTCTCTCTCATCATTGATGTTTCTATCTCTCTCTCCCTCTCCCTTCCTCTCTGAAATCAATAAACATATATTTAATAAATAAATAAATAAAATTCCCGGGAATAGCGAACTAAGGTGGGACTCTCCTGGAAGTCCAACCCTTTTCCTGAGGTCCCACTGTACTCGCTGGCAGCCTCATTTGTCCCTTCGGCTCCCTGCGGGCACAAAAGTATAATCACGATGGAGCCTCTAATCTTAACCTGTGATGGGCAGGTTGTGGGATCCGAGGTCCTGGGGTGGAATCCCAGCTCAGCCTTTCACTCGCCCTGCGATGGTGAACCCCGGGGCAAGTTGCTGAACCTCTCTGGGCCTCAGTTTCCTTCCCTGTCAAATTTGCATAACAACAGTACTTTTGGGCAGGACCCCCTGAGGATGCAGTGAGTTAATGTTTCTTAAGCACTTAGAACAATGCCCGGCGTATAATTAGGCCCAGGGTGTGATGAATAAGAGGCCCCTGACGGCGGGGAACCCCCTTCGCCATCCGGCAGCCTCCCTGACCTCGGCTCTCCTGCGGACTCCAGGCAGGATTTCGGCCACAGCAGGGAGTGGGAGATCAATAGGGGCCACGCCTGCCTTCACTATAATTCTCTGGCCTTTGGTGGTAAGAGACGGGGGCGTGAAACACTGAATTTTAAAACTGGAGAACACTTTAGAGCAGTGGTTCTCAACCTTCCTAATGCCGCGACCCTTTAATACAGTTCCTCAGGTTGTGGTGACCCCCAACCATAAAATTATTCTCGTTGCTACTTCATAACTGTAATGTTGCTACTGTTATGAATCGTAATGTCAATATCTGATATGCGGGATGTCGTAAATGTTTCCTCCCACGTCCCGCGTGGTTCAGGGTTCAATATCTGGAAGAGGAGCCGCACACAAATGAAATAGAAAAGACAAGAGATAATTTGGAAATATTGGGGGACCAGGCGGGTAAGTCCAACTCAAGAGGAAGGACTTCCACCCGTGCTCAGTCCTCACCGACCTTTTATAGTCTGAGGTAAACAATGCAGTGGTTTCCATAGTTACAGTTCTTGTGAGTTTCACCTGTTTTGATCATGTTTACACTCCCTGCACTTCCCTCAGCCCATTAGCTTCCCAGGTAAGATCTGGGGAGTGTTATAAGGTCAAGCCTAATTATGCTAAGAGGACTGAGCCCTCTAAGCTGGGACTTGTTTGTGACTTTGCCAGCAGGTCAGTCCGAGGCTCAACCCTATATCAGTTTCCCACAGCGGGATGTATTTTCATTGTTACAAATTGAACATAATTAAAGCATAGTGGTTAATCACAAAAACAATATGTAATTGTATATGTGTTTTGTGAAGGTCTTAGGCGACCCCTGTGAAAGGGTTGTTCAACCCCCAAAGGGGTCTTGCGACCCACAGGTTGAGAACCGCTGCTTTAGAGAGTTGATATGTGAGACCAACTCCTGTTTGTCTAAGGCCGTGGTCGGCAAACTGCGGCTCGCGAGCCACATGCGGCTCTTTGGCCCCTTGAGTGTGGCTCTTCCTAAACCTTAGGAGTACCCTAATTAAGTTAATAACAATGTACCTACCTATATAGTTTAAGTTTAAAAAATTTGGCTCTCAAAATAAATTTCAATCGTTGTACTGTTGACATTTGGCTCTGTTGGCTAATGAGTTTGCCGACCACTGGTCTCAGGAAACTGAGGCCCCAGGAGGATCAGTCCCTCCCCACGGCCCTGGGGCTCCCTCCTGGCAGTGGGGACCACAGTCCTCCCTGACAGCGATTTGCCCTTATAAGGCAGTCCCTGGCGTATCTAGGGCCGCCCAAATCCCCGTGTTATTAAACTGCGTGGGGACAGGCTTACGGCAAGTCCCAACAACAAAACCAGCGTATTCTGAGGCATCCATAATCCCTAAATAGTCAATGTGTCTGAAGTGTGAGTCAGACCCATACAGTTGGCCGTGTGTGTGTTTTCTGCATCACAGCATGGTTCCCACAGGAGGCCCCGAACTGAAGAATGTGCAGATCGTGGACTTCATTACTATCACACCAACGGGACACTCAACCACCAGTCTTCACACACACATACATGCACACACAATGCACACACACACACACACACACAGCGTCCTCAGGGTCGTGCCAGTCAGTCTAACAGATGACTGTTATTTAAGTTGCGTGCCACTTTGGGTGACAAAATAAAACCGGGCTGAACATTTTAAAGCAGAGGTGGGAATGTCCGGCCTACAGACCATATAAGGCCCACAAACTCATTTGGCCTGGCCCTGTGTAGGCATTACGGGTGAGTTAATTAAATGTTTGACCACTGATAGCAGGCTAATGTTTAAGCTGATAATTCTGTATGGCCCTCGAATGATGTTACAAATATCCAGATAGCCCTTGGCAGAGAAAAGGATCCCCACCCCTGTTTTAAAGCGAAATAATGCACCAGACTTAAGCAGGCGAGTGAGTGAATCCCTAGGACTTTGAGGTGTTCACGGCGCATCCACACTTTTGAGGGTCGGCTCTCCAGCGGCTGCAAGGCTTTTCCTCCACTTCTTTGCATTTGAGAATTTGGGTACCTGTGTCTGTTTCAGGCCCACTGAGCTATCAGCACCTCCTGTTTGTCTCTGTAATGTCTCCTCCCTCGTGCGCTGTGCTCCAAGTTCATGCTTTCTTTACCTCTAAACGCCAAACTTTGTCACCTGACCAGGCCTCTGGTTCAGCTGAGCTGCCCTCACAGAACGAAGACCAGGGAAGCCCGTCCCCTCACGCCCTCCACGGCAGCGCCTGCGTTTCTTGGTAGCAAGGAAGACGTTGGACTGTGCCTAGTGAGTCGTGCCTTCCTGTCTCTATTGTCACCCTGTATGTTAGTGTTTGTATAGAAAAATTAGTAGATATTTATCTGCACGAACCTCTTGCTCAGGAACAAAAAAGCAACTGTCTGACATTTTATTTACTTATTTATTTCATTCATCCAGTTTGCTGAGATATAATTGGCATGATTTGGCTTTTAAAAATGATTGTTCAGTGTGATGTGTGAATTAGAACACTCATACTCATTTCTAAAGACTTCGAGACATTACGTCGCTTCTCAGGAGAGTAGCCAGAGGGGTCCTGTTAAAATATCAGTCAGATCAGCGAAAAACCCGTCAATGGCCCCAGTGTGACTCAGAGGAAAAGCCCAAGTCCCTACCAGACCCGTGACCTGGCTGCCCTCCATCTCTGTGTGTGCGCCTGTCTCCTGGATCCTGGAATCCTTCCAGCCACCAGCGGCTGGGTCCCCAGACACCAGGCAGGCCCTTCCTCACGCTGTTCCCTGTCCTGGGAAGCGCTTGCCAGATGCCCCAGGGCTCCTGGCCTCCCTTCTGTCAGACCTGGAGGCACAGCCCCCTCTGCTGAGACCTTCCCTGGCTGTGACCTAGAAGGTCAACCACTCCCCTCTGCCCAGCGGGATTTCTTTCCTTAAGCCTTATCCCTGCTCAACATCCTTTATGTTTGACCGGGTTACCCCGTTCACTACCTCCCCAGCAGGAATTCCACCTTAGTGGGTGGGGATTGTGTCTGCTGCCCTGCGATGCTCAGAACAGTCCCAGGCACGCAGCGCTCCGTAAGTCTTTGTTGAGTGAAGGACGAACACGTCAAATGTTGGCTTGAGCACCAGAGATGGAAGTCAAGAGATACGAAGCTTTGTAAGAAAGTGAGGAATCTTAGTCTGAGTAAGAAAGTTGTGAGTAAATTTTAAAAATCGGGTAAAGAGTGAAAAGTTAAATTAGGCAGTGATGTGGATCTTTGACGTTCTCTACACGAAAAAGGGATTTATGAAATCGCTGTGGCTAACGCCCCAGCCGGGGGGAGAACGTGCATTTATGATGGTCATTACACATTGGAATGTTAAGTGCGATCTTGGGGGGCGAGACGGCATCTAGAATTCATGCGAAAGATACCATAACAATGGGAAAATCAGAACTTACAGGTTCCATGTTGAGTATCCATTACATGTTAATGATGGTGTGAAGTGGTCAGTGGCCAGAAGACCAGAAGGAACCAGAAGGTCATCTTTGGCTCGCCTGTCCCTCCTCATTTCTGTTTTTTTCCAGATTGCTTCTCTGGGGTTCCTCGATGTGGGATCTGATTCAACCCCTGTTCCTGGGTTGGTAAGAAAACAGGGCTGGCTTCGTGACCCTGCAGGCAGGGACCAGAACACCCACAGCCAGCTCCGCAGTGTGGTGGGGATTGGGCTGCCTCCCAACCAGCCCCATGTCACTGCTGGGCCCCAAGAACCCCTGGTCCCTGCTCTGTGTTGCCCCAGAACCTGCCCCTTCTGCCGCTCTGATCTCTTGGATGGAGCTGCTGCCTCGGTCTCATTTCTTCCCTCCAG